AAAAGTGCCTCAAAAAAAAAAAAAAGTGCAAAAGTGGAAGGCGTGCGGAAGAGGGGGCGAGTATATAACAGACTATATTTTGAGTGGAAATGTTGGGGGGTCGTCTTATACGCCGGCATATACGGTAGATATCTATTTCAATGACATAATCATTCATTATTCATTACTGAAGGAATATTAATCTTCAATCTTCAAAATAGATCATAGTATTTCATTCACAAAACACACTTTGCAAGTTGATCTCTTGTGAGGTAGAATTCAGAATGAGTGAGTAGCCCTAAGGATCATCTGCAAATAATTTAATATGCACAAGCAATTGACCAGAACATTTTCCAATTCAAGATTTTCTAGCAAATGCTAGAAAGTTTTCCTCTCAAACCTTTTCCAACTCCAGAGTATTCTTTCTGCAGCCACCAAATTGTTTAATTTCTCTGGCCTGCTGCCTTCTAGATCCAGCAAACAATCACTCCCACTGCCTACAGGCTTCAGAACCTCCATGGCTATTGCAACTATTGGCAGTTGTTAAAGAGTAATGGTAATTGAATACACTGACTCCGTTGACTCTATAGCACTTGGGGAACACAACAGACTCAAAATGTTGCATCACAAGTGTTATAAGGCTGGCATTTTCCACTCACTCTTGTTCTCTGTCTGCATCCGTTCATGTGTTTTCTGGATATTCACAAGATTATGTTCACTTCTTGATCGTTCCTCCTAGCAACAAAAAAGTTTCTGGTTGATTATTTGGACAATATGATTTTTATTTTAGCAGACATAGTGCATTCCTTGAAGTTATCCTATCACAGCAGTTTCATGCCCTCCTCTCATCATTATTATATTATTACTGTTTGGTGCATTACTAAAACAAGATGTGGACCTAATGAAAAGATACTGTCCCTTTCTAAGAAAGCAAAAGAAAAGCTTTCTCCTTTCCTCATCACTGGCTATGACAAACTAAGTAAGATTTGTGTCACATACAGGCCTAAATATTCCAGGGGGAAAATTCACATTACCTGGGTCTGTTTGATAAGCTGGTGCAGTTCTCCTAAGAGTTCAGCAATTCTGGAATCAGCTGATACCAAAGCCATGTTGCTGAAGGAAACGTAAGGTGGAAGAAAGGAATTTCTCTCAAATCAACTGCCATTATAACATTCTGGAAAGAATGCACTGCTAAATCTTAAACCATTAATAAAGGAATACAGTACTTCTAGTCTCAAAGGTACTTTTTCAAAAGGCAACTGAAAAAAACAGTCATTACCTTTTAAAAGAGCATATTTAAGACAACTATGACCAGGATGATTGAGAATCTCCACAGACAGTACTTTTAGCATATCCTACATTTGGTGTAAATAAGTGTTCATAATAAAGTAATAGTGTTTTCCTGTATCATGGGAAGAACTAACTTTAATCTTCAGAATAGCAAAGATCTTGCTTATAAATACAGTAAAACAATTATGTGTGCTTATTAAAGGCCATCTAATAAGTATGGACTTTAGAAACATGAAATCCAAACAAATAAATAAAGTCTGTCTAGAATCTTTGGGAAAGTTTCCATCTATTTTTATTAGGTAAAATAGCCTCAGGAACAGCTTCATCTTGTATTCTTGTGCTTATATTTTGTGGAATAAACTGAATTAAATGTACTTATTTTCTGAATACTCAGCAGATATGAGGTGCATATTTTAATTTAAAAGCAGAATTTGCTAGTTTAAATTGACCATTTTAATTTCTGTTTTTAGCTTCATTTTATTCAACTTCACCCTGAGAACTGTTGTCTCCTTGGCATGAACAAAGTAGAACTTTAATATCCTTATCAACCAAGCATCCCACCCTGGCTGGCCTAAAAGTTCTGGAAGCAGACTTACACCCCAACAGACAGTAAAGGTCATCCCTCTGGAAAGTAATAAATACATATATGACTTCCAACTATTATTTGCAAATCCAATATGCACATTTACAGGGTAAGATGCATTCAGACAATTGCAATTCATGCGCTTGCTGTCAGAAACAGGTTACTTGGTACATTTTCACTGAACATTGAAGAATACGACCTTCCATTTGTAACATCCAAAGAAAACAGGAGAATCTGCTATCTCCTTCAAAATACAATACAGATTCTCTTGATGTATTGGTTGAAAGAAGGGGCATCACTATATACAGGTAGTCCTTGAGTTACGACCACCACAATTGAGTCCAAAATTTATGTTGCTAAGTGAAACGTTTGTTAAGTGCCCCACTTCACGACTTTTTTTTGCCACAGTTAACTGAATCATTGCGTATGTTAAGTTAGTAACACGGTTAAGTAAATCTGGATCCTCCCCTTGACTTTGCTTGTCAGGAGGTTGCAAAAGCGGATTACATGGTCTTGGGACACAATCATAAACGAATCAGTTGCCAAGCATGAATTTTTTGATCACGTGACTATGGGATTCCTGCAACGGTCGTAAGTGTGAAAAATGGTCATAAGTCACTTCTTTCAATGGCGTTGTCTCTTTGAACTAGATGAACTGTTGCAAGTCGAGGACTACCTGTATTGGAATGATCGACCACGCACGCCGCAACACAAGAATAAATCCTCAACATGCAAAGGGAACCAGTAGGGGGCGACACAACACAATTATAATCAGTACAATTATACACTTCTTCACCCCCTTATTCAAGTAAGTTCCCATTACCTCGGCAAACCCTTGATCCCCTACCGTTTAAAGTCCGTTTGCAGAATAACGCTCGACTCAAGTTCGATAAACGATAAATGAATAAATAAATAAATAAATAAAGGCGGTACGCGCGCCTGAAAATGACGCAGAAACCTCGCACAGCGGACTTCCTACAGCTAGGTGACTGGCGCGTGCGCAGTGAGCGGTGGGAAGTTAACGCACGCGCAATCCGCGGAATCAATTTCCCGTTCACGGGCTCTATTTTGCGCATGCGCTTTGGTGACTTCGGGCACACACACACACCCCCCACACACACCCCAGCCCCCCCCAAAAAAGAACCACTCTAAAAGATTGTTCTGTCCATTTCTGCGTTGTTCTTCCCAATCTTTTTTTTTTTAAAACTAATTTGGAACATGGTCATGAGGAACAAGATATATCCAAGTGGACCTCTACAGCGGGATAAAGAATTAAAAATCTACCAAAAAGCAGGATTGTGGAATAATTTATTATTTCCAAAAGCTAACAGCCTCCTGGGAATTGTAGTTTTTGTTGATCCACGCATGCTCTTTGGTTTACTTTCAAGCGCGGATTTGTTGCAGAGCGCATGGTGGCTTATCTTTTCAAACCTTGAGGTTTTTGAGATGCGTTCGCGGTTCATACAATACTAACATTTTGTAAAAAGTTGTTACCTCGCGTGCAAATCGGGAGGAGAAAGTAAAAAGGGGGAGAATATATATTTCCGTATGGAGTTTACTTGGAGATAAGTCATACTCATTTAGGTTTACTTCTAAGTAAGCGTTACAGAATTGCAAGCATGAAACCTAACACGGAATTGATACGAAAACAATTACAGTCAACAGGCATTCTCAAAATCAAAACAATATCTCCTAAAAACGCTGCAAATTAATTGCAAAAAGTGACAGATTCCTGCGGAGAACATGCTTCTTTTTTGTAGCAAGCATATTGCAGTGGATTAATGCAATTACAAAACAAAAACAAATACTAAGATTAAGACATATAACCTATCAAACCATAATGTGGAACAGCTGAAACATCAACAAATCAACATTGTTGGCATATGCCTTTCAGGATTATATTCCATGCATTAGATAAAATGAAATGTGATCCACAAGAATTTATGCCAAATAAAGTTGCAGACTATATGTGTATCCCGCCTTCATTATTTTTACAAATAACTCGGTGGCAAACATGGCATCCTATTTGCCCCACAACAACAATCCTGTGAGTGGATTAGGCTGAGAGAGAGACTGGCTCAAATATCATGTTTTTGTTGAAGATTTAATTGAACAGTTGGAAAAGTTTTTGTCATTAAAAATAAAAATAGACAAGCAGATGCAGAAACCCTTCTCAAATTACAGTGACAATTTTATTAGCTGCATTAATTTCTCTCATTGGCCACTATGATGCTTCCCTCCCCACATTCAGGATAGTTTGCATCATGTTGACTTAAGTCATACTCAGTTCATTTTGTTCAGGAACAAACTGTACCAGCCCAGCATTATTGACTCTAGATAATGTTCTGTGCTACAGCACTGACTGAACTAAAACTGCTAGTCATCAGAATCACAGGAAGGCAGAGTTCACATCAGAAGTATTGTAGTTTGCTACTGCTTTTATAGGTAGGTAATCCCTTGGTTTACAACTACATTTAATGACCCTTTGAAGTTACAATGGCACAATGGGCCTCCCACTTAACAACCGTCAAGTACCCCGCGGTCATGTGATCAAAATTCAAGCACTTGGCAACTGGCATCCATTTACAATGGTGGTAGTACCCCAGTGTCATGTGATCACCATTTGCAATCTTCCAAGCCATGGGAAAAAGCTGGATACACTTAATGACCACATGGTTCACTTAACAACTGCAGTAATGCACTTATTATCCATGGCAGAAAAAGATCATAAAATCAGGTGCCAATTACTTAACAATTGCAACTTAGCAACAGAAATTCCGGTCCCAATTGTAAGTTGAGGATTACCTGAATAATAGGTGGCAGCAAAACCCTCTTTCTTGTTGAACTCTGTGCAAATCATGGCTCTCAACTGAGAGCCATATGGTTCCCTGGAGGCCCTAGATATTTCAAGGGCCCCATAGCATGTAGCAAGGGAAGAAAAGAAAAATGTATTTATACTGCGAATATCTTGTTCACATCAGAAAATATGCCAGTTACTGTCCTATGTCTATATCCAGTAATGAGACTTAGAATGAGGGGAAAAGATTGGAGAAACACTGCTCTAAATGATTAACAATGCTATGAGGTCTGTTTTTATAATGGGCACTTCCATTAAGTGTTAGTGTGCTTTTGTGTTAACTTACAAATTATATACAGGTAGTCCTTGACTTACAACTGTTCATATAGTGACTGTTCGAAGTTACAGTGGCACTGAAAAAAGTGACTTATGACCGTTTTTCACATGACCACTGCAGCATCCCCATGTCATGTGATTTACATTTGGATGCTTGACAAGTGGCTCATATCTATGACAGTTGCAATGTCCCAGGGTCATGGGATCCCTTTTTGCAACCTTCTGAAAAGCAACATCAACGGGGAAGTCAGATTCACCTAAGAATCTGTGTGACTAATTTAAAGGCATCCCTAACAACTGTTGCAAGAAAAGTTGTAAAATGGGGCAAAACTCACTCAACAAACTTCTCACTTAGAAACATAAACGTTGGGCTCAATTGTGGTGGTAAGTCAAGACCCCCCAATAGGAGTTGTAAATCAGCCACATCTAGGATCTTTTATTTTTTATTTATTTGATTTGTCAATTGTTTACAAGATAATAAGTACAAGTGTATACATAGTTGTGAATATATGAAATGGGTACATATAAGAAAAATAAAAGAATAAGAGAAACAATAGGACAGGGACGGTAGGCACGTTGGTGCGCTTATGCACGCCCCCTACAGACCTCTTAGGAAAGGGGTGAGGTCAATAGTAGACAGTCTAAGGTTAAAGTTTTTGGGGTTTGGGGAAGAGACTACAGAGTCGGGTAGAGTATTCCAGACATTGACCACTCTATTGCTGAAGTCGTATTTCCTGCAATCAAGTTTGGTGCGGTTTACTCTGAGTTTGTATCTGTTGTGTGCTCTTGTGTTGTTATGGTTAAAGCTGAAGTATTCATTGACAGGTAGGACATTGCAATGTATGATTTTATATACCATGCTTAAGTCGGACCGAAGACGGCGTAATTCGAGGTTTTCTAGTTTTAGAATTTCGAGTCTGGTGGCGTAAGGTATTCTATAACGGGTAGAAGAGTGGAGAACTCTTCTTGTGAAATACTTCTGGACTTTCTCGATTGTGTTAATATCACATACGTGATAAGGATTCCAGACTGATGAACTGTATTCGAGTATTGGTCTAGCAAATGTTTTGTATGCTCTGGTTAGTAGTGAGATATTACCAGAGAAAAAGCAACGTAGGATTAGGTTAACAACTCTTAATGCCTTTTTGGCTATGTAGTTGCAGTGAGCTCTAGCACTTAGATCATTAGAGGTGAGTATTCCCAGGTCCTTTACAGAGCTTGGGTCATCAACAAGATCTTGACTATTCAGCTTGTATTTTATTTTCTGATTTTTTTTACCAATATGTAAGACAGAGCATTTATTTGTTGAGATTTGGAGTTGCCATATGTTAGACCATTCAGATACATAGTCTAGATCTTTTTGAAGGGTAGTAGTATTGTCTGTGGTATTGAACAGCTTTACATCATCAGCGAAGAGAACGCAATTGCTCTTGATATGATCACAAAGGTCGTTTATGTAGATTATGAAGAGAGTTGGTCCTAGAACACTGCCTTGGGGAACACCACTATTGACAGGTACTGGATTTGATAGGGCGTTCCCAATTTTGACCATTTGTTGTCTGTTTGACAGGAATGCTTCTATCCAATTATTCAGTTGTCCAGAGATACCATAAGATTTTATTTTTAGGAGTAGTTTGTCGTGTACCACTGAATCAAAGGCTTTGCAGAAGTCTATGTAGATTGCGTCTATTGCTTTGCCCTGGTCGAGTTGTGTAGTCCATATGTTTTTGCAGTGTAAGAGTTGCAGATTACAGGATAGTTTTTTTCTGAAACCAAATTGTTTATTGGAGAGTAGGTTGTTTGTCTCTAAATGGAGGATGATGGATTGGTTAATAATTGATTCCATGACTTTACAGGTGACGCAGCATAAGGAGATTGGTCTGTAATTTTCAACTTGGCTTGGGTCTCCCTTTTTGAAGATGGGAATGACTGTGGCTTGTAACCATAGGTTGGGCAAGGAGCTGGTTCTGAAAGATTTTTCAAAGATTATGCTTAGAGGTTTGGCTATGGCAGCGGATAGTTTTCTTAAGAAGTAGGCACATATTCCATCCGGTCCAATAGATAGAGATGGTTTTAGGTTGCGTAGTGCTTTTTCAACGTTGTCTACTGTAAAATCGATATGTATTAGATCATTATTGTTGTCTGTGGTACGGCTAGGAAACATTGGGCATGATCCATTACTGTTTACAAACACTGAGCCGAAGAATGTGTTAAAGATGTTGGCTTTAATGGTGTCGTCGCTGTAGTCTTTACCATCAGGTCCTATCAAGGGAGGGATGGACCTTGAGTCT